AATTGTACCATTTTTATAATTTTTTTTTCAAATCAGAATATCTAAAATAGATCATTTGAATAACTCATTTGTTTTTTAAAAAAAATATATCAGATCAAATTTGAAATTTCGAGATAAATATAATCTAATATTAATATTTTTATATTATTATAATTATTATTATTATAATAATAATAATTATTAATAATAATTATTATTATTATTATAATTTTTTTTATAAATGAGATATTAAAGTTAATTTCTTTTTTTTTTAATAGAATAATATGATTTTTTTACTTATCTTTTAATAAAGAATTTTAAAAATATAATGAAAATTATTCAAAATTATTTAAAATCAACTTAAATAAAAAATAAATTGTTTCAAGACATTATTCAAATATTTTGACGATTCACATATTTATATAGTTATTATTAATACAAATATACAAAATGGTAATCTTGAATATTAATTCATATTCTGAAATATTTAAGAATATACTATATAATGAATTTCATTTAAATTTATCCAAAAATTTATTTTCTTATATATTTTTTGTAACATATTTAATGTAATTTTTTATTTTTTAAATATTTTATTTGTTTTTTTCATTTTCAATATTTTTCATAAATAAAAATCTAAAAATAATTCCTAATTTTTCTGTTTAAAAATTCTATAATATAAAATTCTAATAATAAAATATAATAATAATATATAATAATTAATATATCAATAATCAATAAACAAAAATATTCAAATAATATCTTAAAACAATTTATTTTTCATTAGAGAAAAAGATTTAAAAAATATTTTAAAAAATATTTTAAATAAAAATAAATTAATATCTTCATATCTTCTTTACGATTCATATCTTCATATCTTCTACTTACAAAAAAATTATTAATAAATTATTTTTTCGAAATGAAATAATTTTGTGTGTAATATTTTTTCTATCATTATTAATTAATTTAAACTCTTAGTTATCATCAATGATTTTATCCAATGTTAATTAATTATACATAAATTATTACATTATTAAATTTATTAAGTAATTAAGCAATCTGAAATACACGACAGAAATAAGAGAAAATGTTTGTTTTTGTAACAGGATGGAACAGTTACACCAGTTCTGAATGGCTGGGTCCTTGGCGCTTATACCGCTATGCTTGGAAGACTTTCAGCAGCGACAGCAGCTCTCGAAGCAACAGAAATTCCAAACATTCCATCTGACAGCGATTCTGAGAGCGAGCATTCATCTTACACCGAAAAGTATGTATTATGATAAAATTATCAATTACTTTTCTCAAGCTAAAAATATTATGACATATTTAATTTGGTTTCCTTAATGCATTGAAAAATTAAAATTTTTTTATATATTTACGGGATCAGATCAGATAAAAAATTAAAAAGAAATTTAAATGATATTATATATATATTGTATATATTATGTATATTCGTGTGTATTGAGATAAAGAAATATTCAAGCGCAAGTTTTTTATTTAATATGTCGTGAAATCGATAAAACGAACCAATGAATCTGTCCGATTAGAGAGCGAATCTTTTTTCCTTGATCGACAATACGAAAGCGCGTTTCTAATATTTCAAATTCAAAGATAAATGGCATCGTAAATCAATAGCTTTGAAGGATATTGACCAGCGTTGAATTATGACCGATCCGTGAACAACGATTACGAAATTTAGAAAATAGAAACAGAAAGGAAAAGATTTTTAATTCTGTGATATTTTTTGGTTTTGATTTTATGCATTTCTTTTTACTTGTATTAGTGATATTTTTTTTTTTTTTTTTTTTTTTTTTGATTGAAATAAATGTGATTAGAGAATTTCAAAATAGAAAAAAAATTAAGCAAAAAGATTTTATCGAAATTTCAAAATTAAATTAATTTTCTTAATTTTTCTAAATATATATATTATTCTATTATTCTTCAATTTTTTAATATATTAGTTATCGTCAAATTTTTTCCTATATTCCAGATATAAAATAATATTTTGAAAACTTAATCAAATTAGAAAAAATCCTAAGATCATTTTACATTAATTATATATTTTTTTTATGTAAAAATCACAAAATAAAATATTAAAATATATGTATGCGTATATAATATGTAATGTACAATGTATATGTAATGCATAATATAATATAAAAATATATTAATTTTTTTAAATTCTTATTTTATATATTGAATTGATATATTAACGTTTTAACGAAAAATATATTTATTTTTTATTATTTTATTAGTTATACAATTTTTTTTTCAAAGAAATTAAAATTTTTTATTGGATTTCAGATCTCGAGGTAATAGTCCAAACATTAGCAATGCACATCGTGGTTATTCCTGCGGTTCTTGTGACATGGTTGCGCCAACAAGGCCAGCTTTGCGAAAACACATTGTTAATTGTCATCCACCAGTATTCAGCGCAGAAGCTGGAGAAAAGAAAAGTTGTCCGTCCTCGGGCTGTGATTTTACCACGAATAGTAGATGCGAGATGGAAACTCACGTAGCTTCACACGTAGCACAAGGGATGACACCCACTGGAAAGAAACGAACTTTTGCATTGCAACGCGTCAGGTATAGGTACTTAACGCTTGTTTTCATTTTTTATTATATTAATATTTCATTGTTAACTCTTATATGGCAATCGATATCTTTTTTTAGATGCAAAAATCAATTTTTTTTTATTTATTTTCTTTTTTAATTTTATATGAAATTAACAAAGATTTTATTCTTATATATATATTTTATCTTATAGATTTTTCTTATATATATTTAGTATCTATATATATATTGATTTTTATTATATTCTTTTTTATTATATTCTATTGAAATTTTTAAAAATATAAATTCTGAATTAAAAGATAAATTTATATATAATATAAATTTTTAATTTCATTATATAATATAAATTTCTAATTTCTAATATCATATACATAATACTTTTACAACTTATATTTGAATAATTATTTTGGCGATTACCGTGTGAATATTAGTAAGTATTATATCGTTAAAAATAATTAGAAAATCATCCATTCAATTAATATTTTGAAATATATTTGACAAAAATTTATTAAAATATTTAGATATTTAACAATAGTGAAACATGAGAATCTTCATTAATAACAATCTTCAAATATAAAATAAAACAAGAGAGTGATAAAATATAATTGCAATCATGTTTATAATCAATAATTAAATCAAAATAATTAATTAAATAAATAATTAATCAAAATAAATAATTAAATAATAAATCTCTAATAATAGTAATATTTATTGCATTTAAAAACTAAACATTTAATACAATTTTGTAATATTATATCTTTTTCTTTGTATACATTGTAATAACTTTAGTTATTTTGTAAATTATAATATAAAAAAAATTTTAAAGTTAAAAAAATCTTTAAATATATTAAATAATTTATAGAAAAGAAGTATTAAGTGCTATATTATTTGCTAATTAGAAAATTATTAATTAATATTTTAAAATATATTATTATTATACATATAAATTAAATATTTAATATAACTTTATAATATATAACTTTATAAAATTCTTTTTATTTTATAATAATCTCTACTTTTTAAAGCTAAAAAAGATCTCTAATTATGTAAAATAACATACGAAAAAAAAATTTTTATAATTTTATTTTTTTTTTTAAATAAATCATGATATAAATCATGATCAATTTTTAAATTTGCATTCTGCATCTCGTTAAAATAATATTTTTATTTAAAAAATTGAATTTACTTAAATATTTTTACCAAAAAATTTTTTAATGTAAATTATATTTTATATAAATTTTATATAAATTTTAAAAAAATTTAAGTTTTTCATATTTATAAAAAGAAATTTAATTTAAAATTTAGATGAAATTTATTAAAAAAAAAACTATTAAAACTTCAATTGTAATATTAATGCTATTTTTAAATTAAATTAAGAAATTCTGACTTATTATGCCAATCCATACATAGGTATGAAAGGGAAGAATACAGATGCTCATTATGCTCATATGCCTGCACTATCGAAAAGGCATTTCAGAGGCATTTGAGAGCACACGCAAATGGTATAGCGCCAGAAACAAGAGTGAGTTGTGCTGTTTGTGGGGCGGATAGATCATCGGAAGTCGATCTGAGCAGACATATGAGAAGACATCGTGACGATCGATACTTTTGCTGTGACATTTGCATCTTTCGCACAGTACAATTAAAAAAGGTAATATTTTTTTCTCTTTTGACACAAAAACTTTGTTATTGGAAATATTGATGCATAGAATTCCAAAGCTACGAAAGCAATTGAAATCAATGAACTTTGATTGTTTCGAATTCAATTCCGAAAAGCTCGTATAATCTCTACTTAATCGTAAATTCTTTAAAATTTCATAAAATATAATTGAAATATTTCTACTTATAAATAAAAAATTCTTATGTATAAATATATGATATAAATGCACACACGTCAACGATATAATCCGATATAACGTAATCAAAAATAATATACTATTTACACAATAAGTTTAGTTTCGAACAAGATTGGATTGCAATTAAATTGTGATGAAAAATTTCAACGATGTTAGGCTTATTGTGAATATAAATCAAAAATAATACATAAAGAAATTAAATAAATAATTCATCAGTATGACATTTATCATAATATAAATATATTTAAAAAATATTTATAATTTATTATAATTTCATATATAAAATTCAACTATAAATGTTCAAAAATACAAAATATAATTCTTCAAATCAAAATAAAACAAAAATCAAGAATAAAAAAAAAATTGTTTTCGATCTCATTTTTTAAAATTTATGAACTATATAAATGAATGTAACTCATGTAATAGAGAATATAATGATCTTCAACTCAATAACACAGAGCAATTTATCTCAATATAAGTAGTCATAGAAATGAAATAAAAAATAAAATATTTAAAACTAAACTTTAGAAAAATATTTTGAGTCACTATACATCTGTTGTTTAATCTGATTTATGTTTCTTTTTGTAGGAAAATTCAAAATTTATGTCTCGAGATAGATTTTAATTTTTTATCATCAATAATTAAAAAATAAAATCGTAAATGCAATATTTTTATTTTTGATTTTATCTTATTTTGACTTGAAGAATATTTTCAGTTATAAACATCCATGTAAAATTTTTCTTTAATTATAAATGATCATATTTACAAAATTATATAAATTTTCTATTTATTATTTTTAAATCTTTAAAATATTTTAACTATTTTATAAAATTAATATTAATAATATTTAAAAATATTAAATATTATATTAGGATATAATTTTGAAATTTTCATGATTTATATCATCTTAATTTAATATATTTTTATTTTTTCTAAATTACATTAGTGATATTACATTAGTGAATTAATACGTTATACTCATAATTATTCATATCTGTTCAATCTATTATTTCTCTTCATATATATATATAATCCAAAAGAATGTAAAAATATATTTAAATTGATATAGATTTGTTTAGATGATATATATGAGGAAAATTTCAAATATACACATACAATATATATGAAAATAATGATTTCTTGTATTTCATTAGCTCATTCAACACCGGCGAATGCATACAGGCGAGAAACCACATCTATGTCCACATTGTGCATACAGAAGTGCACGTCGTGATAATTTACGTAGCCATGTAAGAAGAGTCCATAAAAAAGAGAATCTGTATTGCGATACATTTAGTCCACGTGGTATGTTGTTTACACCTACGATCGAAAAAGATATATCTCTGATGCAGAGCCCGGAATCTTCGCCTTCATCCAATTCGGAGTCGATGAATTAATAAAAAAATACAATACAAGACATGAAAATAATTGAAATTTCGAAATTTGATTGGGGACTGAAAAATTAAGCGGTTCGTCGTCGCTTTATATGTCCTTAACTTTGTTAATATATAATGACTTAGAGATAATAAAATCGATTTTACATTGGCAGTGAAGATTGTATCGTCACTATTCGAGCTTTTTTGAGAATTGTGAATCGATTCTTTTAAAAATTGATCAAATGATCTAAATTAATCTTGAAATAAAAATTGGTAGAAAAATCAATATTAGTTATTTCTTATTTGATTATTTCAATAAAAATAAAATAAGTATATAATTTTTCAAAATGATAGTTTAATTTGATTTAGATTCAATTTAAATAAATAATTTAAAGAAAATAATTATGTTATAAGTTGGATTATAGAATGTGTTAGAAAAACTTAAAATATAAAATTGTAGATTTCGCGCGAGATTAGTGACGATGAAAATAGTCAGAAGTTGTAAATATATGGAGTTTAAAGAATAATAGTTTTAAAAAAATTTTTTAAAAATCAATCTTAACTTCTTGAAGAGAATTATAATTCAACTTTTTAACTTGATTATATAAAATACATATACGATTTTAATAATAGATTACAATATGAAGTATACGAATATAAAATAAAGATTTAAAGCCTAATATACAATTACATTAGCGCAACTTCTGACTAATATAACTTCGTCTTTAATAAATAGAAATTATGTAGAGAATTGCATGTGTCAATAATTCAATTTAATCTTGGAATTCTAACGTGATTTTATCATTAGCCAATTTAATTATCGAAATCTCTTAGTTGATCGACGAATAGCGATCAACAAAAATTAAAGCTGCATAATGGTGCTAGAATTGTAGACTGGATTATAGAAAAAGACTGAAAATAAATATTTTCACGGTATGTGAAATTCGTCCTTTATCTTCACTTTAAACCGTGATTTAAATATAAAATTTGCAATTATTAAGACTGCTATCCAATGGCCAAGAATTTCTCATGCTACAATATCGATTAATCTATTATTATTATTCCATAAAATTATAAAAAACATATACAATTTTAACAAAAGAACTTTTATATATAAATTGATCAATTTCATTTTTTACATTTAAAGAAATTAAGTATATTAATAATATATATGTATACATATAAGTCTAAATTAAAAAATTATGTAGCATGAGATATTTGGTCTCTGGAAAAGGTGCTATTTTGCAAAAATAATTTTATCATCGCGTTCTTTCAAATTTAAGCTTCAGCTATAATTATTATTATTATAATTATTATTATTATTTATGCATATATCATTATATATTAATGATATTTATTATTGGATAAATAATGATATACATTGTTATTATTATTAATGCTATTATTATTATTTATATAGTATATAACGCGAATATGGAGTAAATTATAATTTATTTATTTTCTTATGGAGTTAATCAGAAGCAAAACAATATGTTGCTATAAAATAGCATGTAATATGATGTGTTCGTTAATTGAGGAAAGAGTAATCATGAAAAATTTTATCGAATTTTCATGAAGATAACAAGACAATGTAAAAGTTCTTTTGTTATCAGTCAATGATATAATAGAAATATATGTTCGCTTAATAACATAAATAAAGTAAAACATATAACAAAAAAAAAAAGAAGAAAAATATGTTATTCACAATTTTTTCTCGCCTGTTAATAAAATAGCTAAAAAATTGTAAAAGTGTGCATTAAACATCGAGTGTAGGATTTTCCAACACATTTTACAATACGCAAACACTTTCTTATGTTTCAAATATCTTCAAATCAATAAAAGTTATAGTAGTTTAAAATATGAATTATTAAATAATTGTTATTTTTAATAAGTAAATTTTAATGTCTTTTTGAAAACACTTGATTTTACTCTGTCCTCATTTGACATCTATGGAAATTATTATTAAAATATGACAAGTTTTTTCTCTCTTTAGAATCAAAGACCGTCCCCAAAAAAAAAATGATTCGATTGTGAATTTCAAACATTTTTTGCAAGAAAGATAGAAAAAAAAAGAAATAAAAGGAAGAAGGAGGCGATAAGGCGAAGCCCAATATACATATAACATAAATATGTGTCAATTTTTAATGTATCATAATTATGTTCTAGTCGATAAAAGTTTTTATGGGGAGAAAATAACAAGACACAGAAAGAGTATCTATGTATGCTCTTTGATATAACATTATGGCTACAATTAGTCAACTATGTTTTTTCTCGTCCGAGACGGCCATATATTGCATTTAATAAATAAGTAAATATAAAAAAATATAAATAAATAATTAGGGCAGAGAAAAATTAATTATGATTGATCAAACTGATGAAAGAAATGAACATTAAATAATTTTAATTTTTTACAATTTTAAATGTTTGATAATTTTAAACAATTATTATTTCAAATGATTTTTTCATTTATTGTTTATTTTATTTATTGTTAGTAAATTGTAAATTAAGCATTTACTATATTAATTTATTATATTAATTTAAATTTAATTAATCTAACTACTTTAATTATATTTGAAATTTTCAATACATATTCAAGATGTTTAATTTGATTTATTATTATTAGATATTTATTATTTATTAGATATTATTATATATTTATTAGAAATGAAAAAAGATTATTTGTTACATGCATAATTAATTATTTTTATAAAAAATATTTATTAAAAATATTATAATTTTTAAGTAAGAAAATTAATAAATACTTGATAAATATTAATATTAAATTGTTTTATTAAATTAAAGATATTAAATTCTTTAATTATTGAATTATTAATAAAAAATAATTGATATTGTTTTTAATAAAATTTCGATATACAATATTTATAATTTAATTGCATATATATAATATGATTTATAATAATAAATTATAATTTATATTATATTATATAAATTATAATGTACAAAATTAAATATCTCAGGAATTATAAATTTTAAGAACTTTATAATTTTACATTAAGAATTTATTTCATTAAACTATATTAACTATAATAAATATTAAAATAAATATTAAAATATTAAAATTTTATCTAATTTAAAAAAATAAAATTTTCTTTTTTCATAAAGAAACCATAGTAATCTGAAAAAATTTTATTTTTATATATTGTATATATTATTATAATATATAATTTGTTATAGCATTTTAATCTTATCTTTTATATTTGTATATTTTATATTTATGTATTATAATTTATAATTATAATATTTTATTACAAATTTGAAATATCTTCTATATTTTAATTAATAATCTTCTATATAAATTGTAAATAATTTTTTTATGGAATTTATTACAGTTTTTTAATTATTTTTTAATTATAATAAATTATTATAATTGAAATTTTTATATCTAATAAATAATTTTTAAATTGAAAACGATGCACACACTATTCGATAAATCATTGAAAGAACAATTATTAATATTATTATTTAAAATTATGCATATACATTTTCTCCGTCTCCCATTATGTAGTTAATTAATTGTACAGTATAGAATATTTTCTTTTTGAGATATATTTGAAATAATACTTTATACGTATATTTGTGACATATATTTATGATTCATGATGACTGCGATATCTTTTATAATTCATAATTTTGCATATACATGTTTAACAAGGATTTTTATTAAAATTCTACGAAATAAAAAAGAAAGGGAATCGAAAAACTGAGGAAAGATCGTTGTCTCTTTCGTTTTTTTTCGAACTTTCCTGCATTTATACGAATGCAATATATTCTACATTATATGCGATAATAGTATTTTTGGTAAAATAGTTGTACCGCGATTATGTTTTTCCAATGGATTCATCGCGGAACGACAAAATTGTTGATCGTTGGTATATCGGTACATTGCGTATTAAATTTGTAATAATAATTCTATTTTTGATAATCACTCGATTAATTATTCCATTTTAGAAGTTGATCGTTTTACGGTCATATTTAGAATAATTTAATAGTTTTTAAGATATGTCGCGAGAACGAACAATATGATACGATCCTTTTCTTTTATTTGCATAAGTATTATATAAAATCTCAACTTATACAGATTGTAACAAAATAATGAATTGAAAATTACTTTTGCGAGAGATCTTTAAGAGATTTTTAATTTCAAATATTCTTATATAACACTTCCTATTACAATATTATAATACAATATTATAATTGTTGCGAATATTTAAAAAATATTAAATATTTATTACATTATCCTAATTATTTATTATAATGAATTATAATTAAAATTTTAAAAAATTCTGTAAATTAAAATTCTAAAAAGTTTGTTTTAAATACATTTTTTTTAATTTAATTAAATTAAATCTATTTTATAATGGATATTTTTATAATAACTTATTTTTTTAATGAATTTAATCTAAATCCATCAAAAACATAAGTTAATATAAAAAAGGAATTGTAGCTTGAAAAAAATTAAGAAACTGGTATAAAATAATTAGCATGATCTTTGAAAACGTCTCGGACGTAGATTAATTTTGAAAAGGCGAAAAGAAAAAAATAACAGAACAAATATAATAATTATATGGGGGTCACTTTATCGCTTTGTAAACGGATTGCCTTTCGTGAAACGGGCGTAGAATCTCTTCGAGCCGAACGTGTAACATGATTCATTGGCATTCTGTAGTTAAGTATACGATGTACACACGCGATAGCAAAAGTCTTTTTATTATATTATATATAATATCGTCTGAACGATCGATCTCAGGTGTGTCCGAGATTTATGCTAATTAATTAATTCTAGCTTATTGTTCATAAATGTTGTACCAATAGTAAAGAAATAAAAATTAAAATAAAAGAAAATTCAATAAAAAAAAAAAAAATGAAATGCGTGCCAAAAAAGAAATAAAGATACTGAATAATGGGACGATAATATGGATTTAATGTGTTAAATAGTTCCAAAAGAATCGAGATATTAGAGAGTGCAAACGAGTCAAATCTGCTTGATCATATATTTTTTTT